CACGTGTGGGTTCCTTTTTTCTTAAACTTGTAGTTGATGTTCCTTCCACCTCCTCTTACCTGTGTAAATGGTGGTTTGCCCAGGATGCCCATAGGTACCTCTGGGGAGGAGGGTATAGGTGGGAACAGCTTACACACCTCCCTATCCCTCCTTCCCCAGCCAGACATCTTCCCCACCTTTGCCACGCCACTGGCTCACCTGTAGATCAGGACCTCATCGTCAGAGCAGTTGTACTGCAGCTGGTACATCTTCACCCGGGGCGCTGACTTGCTGACTGACCACTTGACCACAGCCGAGGTGGTGGTCACATCGGACACAAGCACAGCCCGTTCTGGGGGGCTTTGGGGAGGCTCCCCACCCCCACTGCCTCCACCTCCCCGGCTGGTCTTGCTGGAGCCGGTGATGTCTGAGAGGCGGGACTTGGGGGGGACGGTGCGGCTGGGGCTGTTGCTGAGGTGTGGCAGCTGGACAATGGAGACCTCCACCGTGGCCGTGGCCTCTCCGGCGGCGTTGGCAGCAATGCAGGTGAAGGCACCGCTGTCCTGAGATGTGGTGATGAGAATATCCAGGGTGCCATTTTCATACACAGCTGTCCTTGAGGAGTTCCCCACCAGACGGTCATCAGGGGCTACCCAGTGGATAAGGGGGCTGGGGTCCCCGATGGCCTTGCATTTGAGCGTGGCTGCCTGGCCCTCCAGAACCAGCAGCTTGTGTGTGTGCTGCGTGATGAGCGGTGGCTCGCACACAAACTCCTCCTCGCGCACGTGCCAGAAGTAGCGCCCCTTGAGGCCCCCCGGGGAGCCACAGGTCTCCAGGTCATCATCCCGCTCAAGCCTCCGCAGCCAGAGAAGCTCGCAATTGCAGTGCAGAGGGTTCCCCCCAAAACTAAAGGACAAGGGTGGGGCAAAGGGTGTGGCAGTAAGAGCAGAAGCCTGGGAGCGGGCGAAGATGGGGTCTGGGGGCAACTTCTGCAGCCGGTTGGAGGTGAGGTCCAGGCGGGCCAGTTTCTGCAGGTCAGCAAAGGTGCCCTCGGCGATGTGGTCCAGCAGGTTGTGGTCCAGGCTCAGCTGGTGGAGGTTGACCATGCGCCGCACGGAGTCCCAGGGCAGGCCGTGGAGGTTGTTGTAGGACAGGTCCAGGTCTTCTAGCGTTAGCAGGAAGTCCTCGAAGGCCTCGTCGGCAATGCCACCCAGCTGGTTATTGTTCACGATGAGGTGCTGAAGGTTGACCAGGCCCCGCAGAGTGTCCTCCCCAAGGCTGGGCAGCCTATTGCTGTCGAGGTGCAGGGAGCGGAGGCTCTCGAGGTCCAGGAAGGAGAAGGGCTGGATGTGGCTGATGGTGTTCCTGGACAAGGTCAGGTCCACCAGCCCTGTCATGTTGGCGAAGTCCTGGCGGCCAATGTGGATGATGAAATTGCCACCCAGGCGCAGCTCCACTGTCCGCCGGTCGATGTCGGGGGGCACAAACAGCAGCCCCTTGGAGGGGCATAGGGTTCCCAGTGACTCAGACAAGTTCTGGCAGACACAGTACTTGGGACAGGCGTCGACCACAGCAAACGCCATGCCAAACGCCAGCAGTCCACCAAGCAGGGTCTCCATGGTCTGGTCATTCAGGCCGTGGTGCCTGGAAGGGAGGGACACAAAGTCAAGATCAGGAGGCGATTTCCTAATGCTTTCACCCAGAGCCTCTTCTCTCTCACTAACCCACTGCCTTAGGCATGTGCTCATGCAGGCTCTAATCTCTTCTATCTGTCCCCTAATTCAGTTCAACTTTTTCTTTTTTCCTCAGTTCTTATCACCTTCTATTAGTAAATTAATATTCTTTAATTTACTCACTATGTTTATAGATTATTTCCTATCTCCCCACTAGCATGTCAGCTCCATGAGGACAGATACTTGTGTCTGCTTTATTAATAGCTGTATCACAAGCATCCAGCACAGTGCCTGGAACAGAGTAGGTGCTCAATGAATATTTGTTGGAAGGACGGATGGATGGATGATACCCTGCCAGTGGTTTATTCAATAATCATTGAGTTTGAAAAATAAGCTATGGCTGTATTTTGAAGCACAGTTTTACCTTCTTAATTGGTTTAGGCTCATTATGAAATTAAATTTGACTAGGCTTCCTTAAGAAAAAGGATGCGGACAAGAAGAGAATTGGCCCTGAGAGGCGCCAGGGTTGGTGGGGACCTGGGTTTGGATACATTCTTCACCAAGGGGAATCCACATGGTTCATGGATCTTTTAGGGTTTGAGGGAGTGAAGAAGGGGGTGGCGTGGGAAGCAAAGGAACAAGCTTCTGGGCACTTAGTATGTGCTGGGCCCTCTGTCTGGATCCTCATATGCATCATCTCATTGGGCTTTAGGAACAGCCTTCACAAGGAAGGGTTTGTCTTGTAGCCTCCTTCAGGTTCCTGCTCACAAGTCGCCTTCTCACCAAGGACTGACACCCCTCCCCCATCATCCTCCCACCCTGTGAATCCCTCTTCCCTGTTTCTTATTTTCTCCTTGGAACTTATCCCTAACTAACTTACCCATATTTACCTACTTGTCTTGTGTGCTGGCAACAAAGCCTCAAGAGAAGGGATTTATTTTTACTCACCACTCTATGCCCAAGGCCTAATGCACGGCCTGGCACACAGTAGGAGCTTTTGCATAAATGCATATATAGGGAAGAAAGGAGCAGGAATTTGGCTCAGGTCTTTATGCCTCCAAATCTCACAGTTTTCTGTAAGGCTCCATATTGTACTAAACATGGCCTTATTTATGTAGTGCTAAAGACAACCAACTGAGTGGGACTTGGGGAAAATCATGCACACTGGTTGTGTGGCATCATGCAAACCAGCATTTCTCAAATGGCCTTCTAGGAGTGCTAATCAGGGTTCTGCAAAAAAGGCTTCTAAGGCCAGTAAGTTTGGGAAACACTGCCTACTCTTGCTTGCTCTTGCAAAAGCTCTATACGCATTAGCAAGTTCAGAAGAATTGAGAAATTCTGCTGCAGTAAAGACACTAGATTAATGTTTAATTGTGCACTACTACCATTCTTTTACCATGAAGACACTCCTTTTTTTTTTTTTTTTTTCTTTTTTTTTTTTTTTGGTCCCCGCAC